TACAACAATGAATTTTGTAATTATTCTTGTTCATCATCAATTTAAATTGAAAACAGAGGTGAACAACCCAAGAATGTATATCTCCAACTGTCACTCTCTCTCCCACTCTCTCTCTCTCTCTCTCTCTCTCTCTCTCTCTCTCTCTCTCTCTTTCTTTCTTTCTTTCTTTCTTTCTTTCTTTCTTTCTTTCTTTCTTTCTTTCTTTCTTTCCTTCCTTTCTCAAAAATACCTTAACCTATTTTGTAACAACGCTGCATGATCAAATGATCAGAAAATGATCGATATAATGAAGATGTCAAAGTACGCCTCTGAGAAAAAAAAATAGCGAGAAAACACATAATCCTTTGTTGCATTACTGTTTAAATGTTTTTCTGTTTATGTTAATTTTATGTTTTCCTTTGCTTTGGTGACGGTCGGATAAACAAGAATGTTTTTAAATATTTCTTTACCCCATCAGATTAAACTATGTATTTACTGCACATTCTCATATAGTATAGGGTATATAATATCTGTATTATGTAATATTTTTTAATAAAGAAACTCCTCCGGATGCTAATACATTTGTTTGAAAAACAGTTTTATTCTGTTTTCTTTTCTCAGCAAAATTAAAAACTTATTTGCAAGTTGCAAAGAATCAAAGAGTTTAATCTAAAAAATTATAATAAAAACAATTAAAGAGCTTTTAATCTAACGGTTTACAATGGTGGTAAATTACTGCTTAGCCTGATCCAAGCAAACAAAAAAGTAGATAATTAGACTTCACGAAAATAAACCTTATTTAATTTCTATATGGGAATATTTATCGAAAAATCTTAACATTACACAGTTACTTAGAGCTGAACAATTGATTTCATATTTTAACCGTGAAAAGCTACGTTGCATCGTAAGAATTAATTAGTATTAGCCGCCCATCCCACCAAAATTGCAGCTATTTATAGCAAATGAAACACTCTTCACACATTTTTAAAAAGAAGAGAGATGACGGAATGAGGAATAAAGAGGGCGTGTATAATTGAAAGTCAACTAAACCCTCAATTCTTTTATGTTGTTTGCAACTGTTGGACTAACTACCGTGATTGAAATTTCTGTTAAACTTTTTTCTAACTACTCTAAGGGCTAATAACTACGTCAACTCTCCTAAAGCGGCTCCAGACATGCGGTATGATTGTAGCGTCAATTTTCGCTGAATCCCGATTAGTGTGGATGGACTATTCGGTATTCGCCGAATAAGAACATCCGGTGCTCGCCGTGCTCGGCTTTTTGTCCGCTTCAAAGGGCACGAATTCGTGAAGTAACCGCACTCAAACCATCCACACATCTGGGAATCAAGTATAACTGTACATATCTTTATCGTCCTGTCAACTGTTATCAAAATCAACAGTAAGCATATACTTCTATGTAATACTATTTATTTTTCGTTAATAAACGATTGCTAACTATATAGATGTTTTAATTTACACAATAACAACTTTTTTTCTTATTAGGGATAGATTGACCCAATGCAACAGTTTTGGAGTTCCTCGATGTTTACTTAACAGATCCAATAATTTGGAAAGCTTCTCTTACAAATCATAATTTGTTTTATAAATAAAGAAATAATTAAAAATATAATTAAATATATTTTTTCAATTAGTTTGTTGCCACTGCACAAAATAGTAACCGCAGCTGCAGCAATGATTTTTTCACTCAACTTACTAAAAATCGTGATAGAGTTGTCTATCACGATTTTTAGTAAGTTGAGGACTCCCACGGCATTTGGATAATGCGAATTCCCTGTATGACACAACAACTAGGAGGTTATACAAAACCCACATGTGAGTATACGTAGACACGCTATGCAAAGACGAGCATCTCGGGAATTGGCCGCATTTCCGGAATATTCGGCGACAATCGGCATTCGGCGAATACCCGCATATCTGGAACCGCCATAATATTAACTTATTAACATTATCGTAATGTATTAATGATCACTTATTATTCGGGGAGGAAGCATATAGCATCGATATGCCAGCACTGACTTCAGAAAACTTCTCTAGATTGATGATGCGCAGTGAGGCGAAATCCTTCGTACGTCCCATCCTATTCGTCCAATACCCATGAATATGACCATTGCTATGCCCTTGGAGGTGGGTCTGGTTTTAGGTCCCAGTTTTCAAATTGAAAGACACATCAATGGAAGAAAGACAACCTCGAGATTCAGGAAGGTTCCTTAATATGGCCGATTTACATCCTAGTAAAACCTCTTGTATTGTTTCCTACTGTCTTGTACGCTGAGGTTCAACATTCCAGCTCCAGGCAGTCGGTCACTGATAAAGAATAAAATAAAGGGTGCATGAAGCATGGTACTAAATACCTAGGCTATTAACTCAAACTAGTCTTATTGCTTAATGATCCTAAGAAAACAAGGTTATTTTGCGATGGGTTCCGAATCATGAAGGTATTGAAGGAAACAAGCCAGCAGAGCCTGGAAAAATTGTTTAAGAATAAAAACCCTGGACAAAAGCATCAGGTAAGAAGCAAGCTAAGAGATTGATGAATTTGTCAAAAAGGAAGGTAAAGAAAGTCCTCTTGCTTTCTCTCTCTCTCTCTCTTTCTCTCCTTCTCCCTCTCTCTCACTCACTCTCTCTCTCTCTCTCTCTTCTCTCTCTCACATAATTTTATACGGTTTTTTAAGCTAAAAATAATGTTGCAACCGGATTTTAAATTGGTCATAAATTTTGAAAAAAATTACTTTGCTATTTATTAATGACATTGCATGTTCCAACTGCCTGCCTTGCATAAAGGTGCAAATATTTGCTCTTTTTAGCCACTCTTCACCAGTTCTCAGAGCGATAGAGTCGGGGAGATGTATTGACAAGCATTTTTTATTCTTTGCCGCAGTTCTTCAACTGAAATTGCTGGGTTATGATTAGCGTAGACAGTGTTTTTTAAATGGCCCGCACAGAAAATAGCGTCATTAGTTCAAGGGAAATTCTGCCGGGCCATCTAAAAAGGACACCCTGTCTGTATAAGTCGCAATGAAGAAAAGGTGGAAATTCTTACTAGACTCCCCCAGATAAAAAAAAATGCAAAAAATTACACATATTAGAAATTAATTAAAAATACAAAGGCAAAATTGGTAGTGAGTTGCTTTATGCATTAAAATATTTATTATTACCAGTTTTTAATTTTTTTAAACAAACATGTCATGCACCTTTATTTAACAAAAGTGAAAAATAAGGAACAAGCAGCTAGGGAGAGTAACATAGTTTCTAGACAATGTGGTTTCCATTAGAGGGTTTTCTCCGGCCACACTTTCCTTCTAGGATTTTTAATATTTAATCTAGTCTTTACCTCTCGAGATAAGTAGAATTTATATATATATATATGTATATGTATATATATACAGGTTTACAGGGTTAAATATCAAGACAACCATATATAGTTCAGTGCCTCCAAAACGAGGTTTCTATCTTAGATATTAAAATTTTTGTCATTTTAATTTAAAATCAGATTGTTTTACTTAAAATCGTAATTTATCAATTTTAGCGTCATTAAAATTCAAATTGACTTTTATTTCACTAACTACATCAAATTTTCCACGAGATAAACATTTCCGTCAAATTCTGCAAACAAATGGCAAAATCCATGTTTTTTAGAAATACTCAATTGTGCAATGACTTTTCCATCAAAATTTTCGGAGATTTCACCAAAGATGACTTATTTTTAAGTATTTCAAGGAAGGTATTATTTCCACTCACTTTTACATGTTTTTAGAACTTTTGTTAGTGAAATACCCTTGTTAAGCTGAAAAACGTGATATCAAACCCAAGGAGAACAGCAACCCAAGAACATCGTAGATGTCATATTTGTACTAAAACCATTTACTATTTGGTAACAAAAATAGATCCATTCTTCATAGAAAAATTACAATGAAAAAGAAACTTCATTAAGTTACCTATTTTTTGGAAAATAAAGTATTGTTCGAAATGCTTTCCTTCGTACTACATACATAAGCACGAACGTAAAGCAACGACGTGACTGCATGGTGGACTTCTTTTGACTTCTTTCCCTCATGTCATTGCACATGATTTCAATTTTCTTTATGAGCTGATGCCTCGTTTCTATGGGTGTGCTGTACACTGCACTTTTCAAAATTCCCCCACTTGTAAAAAATTAGTGGGCTCAAATCAGGGTTCCTCGCTGGCCATGCCACGAAAAGAATGAATCAAATTTTTATTACCAACTAATAAATGTTTTCATTAAAAATATGACATGCACGATGTTCTTGGTTGCTGCTATCGTCAGGTTTAATATCACGTTTTTCAATCTTGCAAAGGAGATTTCAAAATGTAATGTAGTTTGCGAAATAAAGGTCAGAATATGTATGTAATTAACGACGCTAAAGTTGATAAATTACGATTATATGAAAAAAATCAAATTTTAGACTAAAATCACAAAAATAATACTATCTCAGGAAAGAGTCAAGATAGAAACCTCATCCTGGAGGCACTGAACTACGTTTTATTTAGTGATTCCACTATGGCAGTATTGACATTTACCTCTGTAACAACCTGTATATATAGGAATATATTTAGCATGAAAAAGATTTTCAAGAGGATGTATGTAAGATTGAAAAACCGACGTGTACTTCCCTAATGAGTCACATTACTCGTATTTTGGTCTTCCACAGAATGTATTGTCCCGTGTTCTGTGACAACAGTCCCTAGTTAAGTATGGATGTAAGATGCTAAGTGGAGAAGTATGTCCTGGGTTAGATTTATAAAGAACTAATTAATTTTAAATATAAAATAGTAATAATAATAAATAAGTCGGGCGCTATACCATTTTCTCGGGGATAGTGGATCTTTCAAAACACTTTGCGAGCGCAATAAGGCAATTTAAAACGCTTTGTAAATAAGATAAAAATAAAATTATACAAACTACATTGCAAAGATAATTGATAAAATTAATGTAAAGATACAATTATTCACAAACTAAAATCCTTAATAGTTAACCACCTCTAAAATAAAATTTACACAATGCTGTTCTTATGGATTCAAAACAAAAAGGAAAAAATCAAGCCTGGTCCTTCGATGTGTCCCGGGCGTCTCTCGTCGCCTTCCTGTTTATGCCTACTGGGGATACGCTCCCTCGAGGTGCGCCGGTGTCCTTTTTAACCAGGAGAAATTTGCCGAACTTCTGAAAAAGAGATTTATAAAAAGATTAATTTTTATACCCAAATATCCCGTGTTTACACATTTTCTTTGTTTTCTTAAATGTAATTACATTTATGCGCTTTAATTTAATTATAATTAGTGTAACAAGTTGATGTACATTACTAAATAAATAAGGGACCAATTATGTCAGCGTATATTTCATTTAAAATAAATAAAAGAATTAATTATTAAAAAATATGTACTGTTCGGTAAAATTTAATTAGTCAAACCCATTTCAAAACTAAAAACGTATTCAATAAATATTTCAGAATGAATGGCAGTGACGTTCAGCATAAATTTGTGTAAGTGTACACACAATTGTCTTTATTTTCAGCAGGAAATAAAAGTATTTAAGGTATTGAATGGTGTAATACACCCAATGTGAAGTACGAGTCATTCATTTTTAACAAGTAAGCGTAACTAACATTTTTTTCCAATTAATTAAGGTTTTGGTTGAGAGAAAAAAGTCATTATCACAAGCGGAATTCGAGGTGCGGTTGAGATGGGAAGTTGGTGTCCGTGTGGATCGAAATCACGATAACTCAAGTGGTAGAGCAGCAGCATATTTAGCCGACGGTCGTGGGTTCGAATCCCGCTTGTGACACTGACTTTTTTATCTCAACCAAATCCTTAATTAATTGAAAAGAATTTATTTGGTCAAGTGGACCACGAAACCTAATAAAATGTAACTAAAAATATTGGTAGATTTTAATACCGATTAACTCAAAAGTAGATCTCTACGCATCAAGTATATCATTACGTATTAAAAAAAACTCACAGTAAGATTAATTAATGGAAATAATTAACAGATGAAATAATGATTAATAAAACTTAATAATTTGGTGTATTGCATGACAGAAGAGATGTCATACATCACAATGATAAGTTGGTTAGTTAGTAAAGAGGTTGATATTTTTGCGGACAAGTTGATAATTGTCAGCATTGACGATGAAATTAGTCAAGAGGCGCACAGAAGGTTCGGCCTTATTAAAACCAGTGATTAATTATCATATTAATTGTTAAGCCTAATGCGGGTGCTAAGTATAATCTTGTGATTAATAGCAATGGCTTTGTGCTGCGTCCTGTTATTAATGGATGCTGCCGGAACCTAGCATGCCCGAGCGCTCAAAATTTGGACAACGGAGACAAAACAAATCGGAGACGGCCCGGCAGGCGTGGCCCGCCCACGGACAACTTGTCCCAGAGGTGGCATCTGCCCTTTCGGCTTACCGATGGCTTTTTAATTGGGAAGACGGTGATTTATGCTTTGTATGAAACGTTTGGGATTGGCAGCGCTCCATTAGGCACTGAGATGATTTAATAGGGGTGGTTTATCTACTGGAATTCGACTTTTATAATCGATGTTCAATCACTAATCAACCTACATCGATCTTTCTTAAACTCACTCCAGAGTTTACAATATTTTTTTGTAACATCAGTTCTTTGCAATAAGAAAGAAACTTCTGCGAATGGACAAGAATTAATTAAAAAATGATGCTTAGAGTCTATTGCTACAATATATTAGTAGAGACAAAGACTCAAGCAAGGGGGTGTTCAAAAGTTACTAATCCTGTGCGACCGATACGTCCTTCCGCTTTACTCTAACCATGACGCGGTGTTAGTTCAAATTTCTCAATTAATTAATATTTTTATGAAAAGTATTAGTCGAGATAAAAAAAGTCAGTGTCATGAGCGGGATTCGAACCTACGATCTTCGGCTAAATACGCCGCTGCTCTACCACTTGCGCTATCATGACTTCGATCCGCTCGGACACTAACTTCCCATCTCAACCTCACCTCTGGAATTTTCCCTCCTTTTTGCCATTTTTTCAAATGCCGTGTAATCTATTTGATTCTCGGCGACAAATGAAATGGCCACGGAAAGGTTTCGTGAAGATATACTTCAGTTTAATTATTAAATCCATTACAGTTTGTGGTCCGATTGACCAATTAGCATTTTTCAATTAATTAATATTTTTATGAAAGGTATTGGTCGAGATAAAAAAGACAGTGTCACGAGCTGGATTCGAACCCACGATCTTCGGCTAAATACGCCGCTGCTCTACCACTTGAGCTATCGTGACTTCGATCCGCTCGGACACCAACTTCCCATCTCAACCCCACCTCGAATCCCGCTGGACCACGAACTGTAACGGGTTAGTAAAAATGTTGTGATTGAAAATAAATATTTGTTTTTATATTTTGTTTCATTGTTTATTATAACTTATACTATTTTGGTCTTGGGTTTTTTAGTCCATTTTCCCAACAGAAAAGAAATTCATTTTAAAATGTAAGTGAAATATGTATTTTCTTTGGTGATTGATCAGCCTTCTCAGATTAAATATATTTTTCTTTCCAAAAGGTAGATTGGAGATGAGGCCAGGAAGACAGAAACAACATTTATTTTCTTGTCGAGCATTCGGCAGAATATATCGCCTTCATCAGGACTCTGTATTAACAAATTAACATAAGTAAAAGTAATTTTTTATAGATTGAAGATTGAGCCAGTTGGCAATACTGTCGCGTTTATGAATATTTATTACCTTCGTTTATCGAAGGTGGGTTCTACCGGCTATCCGTTATCCACACATGTACCTGTTCATATAGTATAACGATTTTTGTCGAGTTAGTAATTAAGGAAAATTTTAAAAATTGTATATTTGAAAATTTACTTATGTTAATTTGTTAATGCGGAGTCCTGATGAAGGCGATATATTCTGCCGAAAGCTCGACAAGAAAATAAATGTTGTTTCTGTCTTCCTGGCCTCATCCCTAATCTACCTTTTGGAAAGAAAAAATATATTGAAATATGTATATAAATGAGAGATGATGTTTCAAACAGGTACTCAAAGAAAATATGTAAATTGTAAATATGTAATATTGTTCATGAACATAAAATAAATTATTATTATAATTTATACTAAGAGAGTGTATATTTGAATAAGACAAAAAAAGAGACTGTGAAACAGGTATTGTTGGTTGGATTATTTGTTGTTTTCATATTAGTGCGGACTCACATTATCATTCTACGGTCATTAGGTGAAAAAGTTCAAGAATATTTTTGAAAAGTTACTATTAACGTTCCCAAAAATAGAGTATGAACAGGAGAATAAATAGATAGGGTGGAAAATAAAAAGGAGAGGTTAGTAAGATTGGGAAGATAGAAAAGAGAAAAGAAGAAAGGGAAACATGTGTGAGAAATATTTAATGAGGAAATAAAAGGAGGACGAGTGTTTGTGTCAGTGTGTAAAGAGATAGTGAGAAAGAGAAAGAGAGAGAGATTTAGTGACTAATACGTAACGGTTCCTATTTGTATTTGCATTGCCTACAAGTTAGGAACTGAGCTGTTATTTGTTCTCTAGGTTAATAAAACTCTTTTATTGTTATTATGTTAAAAAGTAAAGAAAAGTAAGGATTATAAAAGTAAAAGTCCGGGATGATATATTCTTTTCATATTATTATAACGCTAGCGTGATAAATACAATTCAGACCCCTTAACGACCATTGTGGTTTCCATATTATGTAATTATCATTAATTAACATTGTAAGTTTTTGTATATTGTTTTTCTACAATTTATTTTTATTGTAATTCTAAATAAATGAGGAGAGACGGGGAGTTATGGGGATAGGCAGAAAAGTAAGAAACATAAAATTCAAATAAATAAAAAATTAACTTACGGTTTATTACAGAAAGTCATGTTTATGCACTGTAGTTTAGCGATAAGGGTTCGCTTAATAGGTTCGTGCTTGCAAGCCTTTATAGAATTAACTTTATCGTCGTTGTTTCTTCTCTCTCTCTCTCTCTCTCTCTCTCTCTCTCTCTCTCTCTCTCTCTCTCCGAAAGTTACCTCGGAGGAACGTTTTTTTGACGAATCCATCTGAACTCCTCCCCCGTATCGAAAATGAGCACAGTCCTAATCCAAATGGTATAAGTATTCAGCCGGCGTGTTCCACCGGGGAGGAAAGCTCCGGATTAGCGCTACAGCTGTCATTTGAATCCTGGGACGGGGAATAGTTACGGCGGAATTCAAACCTCGGGCTCGGAAATGGACTTTATTACAGACACGTTGTCATCATCCTCGGTGACACTTGGGCGAATTAATCTCGCCCTGGCCGCATGACAAAAGCACACTGTCACAGTTTCCGACACGCGAAAACAAAAATTATTTTTACCATTCACTCCAGCGGTTATTGTATCAATTTCCAGTGTATGTAATACATATTTATAATAGTTTGAAAAGGAAAAATTCAACATTATTTGAAATAAAATTTCTGACATATGTGATAATTAAAGAATTAATTTAATCTAGACCGTTTCTTACAATTCAAATTGCTTGCAGACACAAATTTTTAACACATAACCTACAAAAAACGCAGTGTTTATTTTTTTGACTATTAATACTATCCTTGCTTAGAAGTTTAAAATTTGAGGAAAAAGAGTAGTCCTTGATATTAAATTAACAAGATTTCTATCTTTCCTTATTAAAGTACTCTCTTACTTTTATTTTTTAATATATATACATTTTTAATACTTGTTACTCTCGACGATCAAAATAGCGGCTGGTCTAACTCGTATTGCGTTTTTCACGCATAGATTTCTCCATGGTTAAACCTCGCACACAAATTTAGTCGCAGTCACGGTTTCCCTCACGTGATCCAGTATTGCGTGTTGACTGACTCGTTTATTTAATTGTCAATGCACATGCTTTACGTGTCTGAGCATAAATTTATCTTTATCTCGAGAAATTGCATTAATTTCCTCCATTTTACCCTTTCCTGTGTATTAGGGCTGCTTTAATTATTGCCTCCCGCTACTGTTTTATTATAATTCTATAATAATTCCATTATCTGAAATTTATATGACGTCTTATTAAATGAAACATTTTTTTCTGTTTTGTCAAAAACATCTTGTACATTTAATCAATCAAATGTATCTGTATTTAGTACCGCCCGACTGACGGCGTAGCGCTACGCTAACACTTC